ATTCATGAACTAAAATTCTGGGGATCTGAAACTGTAACAAGCAAACTAAAAAAGCTATTAGTATGAACAATTGAGACCCATCCTGTTTGGGCAATCTTTGTAAAGCAAATCTGTAAGGTGAGTCCAAAATGTTTTGTCACCAGATGTCAGCTGTGAACCTGGATTACTGTTAGTTTAAAAAATCATGTTTGTTTTACTTATAGATGGTTGTACATGGAGATTTTAAGATCTGTACTCTTTATAGGCAACAGAGACAGAACTAGAACAGATGCTACAGTACCATATGCCTTTTATAATACTATTATTGTTTTGGCCAGTGCTGACTGTCTCATGTTAGAGGTCACTTCACTTCCTTGGAGACACTGTCCCTGCCTCAAGACAAGGTGAGTTTATGATCCTTTCTCTGTGTCTAATGGCTCAGTAAGCCCCCCAGGATTCTAAACTCTATTTCAGCAGACTATGTATGTCCAGCACCCAGCACAATGTATCACATATACTAAATATTTAATTCATACACACTGAATGAATGCACATAGTAAGAGCTACCATTTTCTGGGTTCTTACTAAATGAAAGACACAGTGGTACGTCTTTTTGTTTTGTTTTGTTTTGTTTTGTTTTTTTGGGTCCGGTCGTGGGGCCTGAACTCTGGGCCTGGGCGCTGTCCCTCAGCTCTTCAGCTCAAGGCTAGTGCTCTACCACTTGAGCCACAATGCCACTTCCGGCTTTTTTCTTTTTGTTTATGTGGTGCTGAGGAATCAAACCCAGGGCATCAGGCATGCAAGGCAAGCGCGCTAAGTGGTACACCTTTTAAAAATATTAAATCATTTAATGCTTGTAGGTATCAGTTCCCATGAGTTAGTTTGCATGAATAAGTATCCTGCCCATGAGCAATCAGTTGTCAGTAATTATTTGGACAAATATCTGCCTGACTTGAAAGTCTGGTCTCTCAATCACCATTGATGTGCACATCCGTTTCAAACTATGGTAAGTGAGGGCTTGTCAGATGCCAGGATTGGTGTTTCTTCCATGATTATTAATGTATTATTAGTTGTCACTATATATGTGTATATATATATATATATGTATATATATATATATAGGACATATATATGGATATGGGTATATATACATAATCTGTTATCAGTGCAAATAATATATGCAAAGATATCAACACAGAGAAATATTCTTAAGGCACAGATTTGAACTTGCTAGGCTCATCTTCAGAAAAACTTCATAGGCTTTCAGGCTACTGAACCATATATTCAGTTTAAATGGTGTTTAGGACAGATGAGTGCATATGAATTGCTGATGTACATTACAATGAACTTCTGGCCATTCTCCAAATAAATCAATTCCTTAATGCTACTCCTTTTATGAAGTATATTCTTCTCTACATTTGCTGAAATATCTGTGCCTTTATTTTTTGGCAGTACTGGAGTTTGAACTTAGGGCCTCAAGCTTATGAGGTAGGTCTTCTACCACTATGCTACAACTCTAGCCCTTTTGTGGGCTGGTTGTTTTCAGGTCAATTCCAAGCATGTAACTGGATCATAATACTTATATGTTTTACTTTCCACTATAGCTAGGATGACAGGCATTTATCATGACTCCTAGATTGTTCCACTGAGATGAAGTAACTCAGACTTTTGTTGAGGTGGTCTGGAACTGTGACCCACTAGATTTCCTAAATGTAGTCAGATCATCCCATGTAGCTAGAAGGACAGGCAAGTAAGTAACACCATGGCAAGTTCCTGCTTGGGAAAAAGTCTTGAGTTTACAGCATTTAAATTCTAGTCTCTCACAGCATTTTATAAGTAATTCTATGTAATTTTCATACTTCCTTCTCTGTCTTTATTCTCATCTACAACCCAGGAAGAAACATTAACTTTAAAGTCTGCCTAGGATAACCTACATTTCTGTAACATTTAATACAATTGTAAATAATATTGTTTTCCCCACAAGACCATAAGTTCTGAGGACAAAGACCGTATTTGACTCATTGACCAGTGTTTACTCAATGAAACAATGCATAGCCAAGTAGATACTGATTAAATCCTTGTAACATGCATGTAACATGTTAAGTGCTTTAGAGAAATAAGTGCTGCACAGAGTAATCTCTAAATTAAATTCTAAAGCTTTCATTTTATGTCTAATTAGGAGACATTAGATGAGAGCACTTTCTAAATACTGATGTGTTGTGACAGAGAACTTTCTTTCTCAATGAATCAACGCATGTTTTAATGACAAAGTAATTATGATCTGCATAAGATGAGCACTTCCTTCAAGCATGCTACGATTGTATTCATTTAATTTTCAGAATGTGAGCATTCTCAAATAGATCTCACACGAAGTATATTTTCCTCTTAGAAGTTTAATATTGCCAGGACATCATATTAAGTTTGACCATAGCAAGCATCTTTCTTCCCATGTTTTGTAATTAATATTAAGTGTTGTATTTTTAACATACTATAACTTTAAAGCATATGTGTGCAATAAAAGTCAGCACTGCCAAGAATGAAGAGGGAAAGTTAGGAAATTATGTCAGATAAGTCCTTTGGAACTCTACAGGAATGACATACATTAGCCCACATTATTTCTTGACAGAAACTTGACAATAAAAAGTATATTTGGCTTTCAGTACTATTCTTCTGAGTATCAACTTTATATATCTAAGGGTAATCAATTTTTAATGTGGAGAATATGAAATAAGGTATGTTTAATAGAAGGAGATATACAATATAAATAGCATGACAATTCATAATACTAACAATTTTCTTTAACAAGAGTGCTAGCCAGAATAAACATTTTTCCAGAATATTTTCCTGTATCACAGAAAATGTAAGTGCCCATAGTTCAAACTAGTACTTTATTACAAATGAATCTGAAGAAGAGATATATCAGAAAAATCAAAGGCGTATGTTTTGTCTTCCTCTTTAAGAAAATCACCTTTTGGTTTTATTATTGACTTTTACTTCATAAAAGCTGAAAAAGTTATTTTTTAATAAATTCCATGCTCTTTAAATGAAAACCATAAGGTAGGAAATTATATTGCCCATTATGACTTAGAAAATGTTTGCTGTCGGTCCAGGAAGGTGGCTCAGTGGTAGAGTGCTTGCATGCCTGAGGCCCTTGGGTTTGATTCCTCAGTACCACATAAGCAGAAAAACCCGGAAGCGGCACTGTGGCTCAAGTGGTAGAGTGCTAGCCTTGGGCTGAAGAGCTGATGGACAGCACCCAGGCCCAGAGTTCAAGCCCCATGATGAAAAAAAAATTTTTTTAAAGAAAAGAAAATGTTTGCTGTTATAGTTTCTACAACCAAAGATTTTTTTTAAATTTTACTTTTACTCTTTCTTTTATTTCTTTGCTTATTTACTTCCTGTGGTACTGAGAATTGAACCAACTGTCATGGTCTACTACTGAGCAACATTCCCAATTCCACATTTATAATCAATTCCACATTTATAATCACACAGGGAACTATTTCTCCCCACCCAAACAAATGTCCCACATTATGGCATCAGATTTTCTGCTAATAGAAGCTTCTGTCAGTCACTTAGCTTTTCAACACTTGGCCAGAAATGTGAGATGGAAGGCAAGAGGAAGAAGAAAAATATCAGTCACTAGGTCTTCATTTTCATCCATTCTAAGTATCAAACCTGGTCTTCTTCTATTTAAACCTCCTATTATCACCCAAATCTAGTCATTATTTTGTCTATCAAACTGTGGTTCTCTCTTTCAAGGGTTCCAAATACTGTAGCTAAACCTATCTTCCTGAAATATGTCAACTACTTCACTCAAAAATCTTCAATAGCTCCCTACTGCCCAACTTAGCACGTCTATGTTATTTTTCCTTTTTCTGGTTAAGTCTTCTAATCTAGCCCTCTGCAAGCTACCAAAAAATATGCTTTAAGTTGAAAATATGAAATTTTCTTACCAGTGAAGTTAATTTTCTTACTCTAAGAATGACAACACAATGTTTAGCCTTCACCTTTCTACTATTATTCACTTCCACAGTGTTTGTCCTCTTACTTAGTTACCTAAGCTATACTTCAAATACAGTTTAAGTGATACTGCCTGTATAATTAACAACAACAATAATCACTGTCAGGCACTGTTCTAAAACTTTTCCCTGACTAACTCATTTGATTCTCAGAATAGCCTGAGGAGACAATTACATGAAATTTCTCCTAGCACTGAAGAATAATTTTCCCCTTCAATACTCATAATAAATACAATGTTACTGATTTTCATTAGCTATCTACTATATATAATTTGATGAGCAAAACTGGCAATAGTTATGATATAACCTGGAAGAACATGGAGTTGGAAACCTATATAATAGAGCCACAGGTAGGATATTAAGTTAGTCAAATATTCTAAGTCTTGATTTCTTCATTATGTTGCATGGTTAAATAATACTCATAGGATGGTTGACAAAAATAAATTTTCTAAATGAAAAGGCCTAATGAGCTATAAAATACAGTGATAATAATGCTACCATTCATACAGTATATATGAAATGCCAATTATTCTGCTAAGAGTGAGCTCCAAGGCAAAATAAAAAAGCTTCTGATTGAATCCTTAAAATATTAGCAATACTTAAGATCAAATAAGTAAGTATGACTGAGTTAAGTCCTACATATAATCTGGTGCCACAAAACTGAGTACTTAGTTTGCTGACAATTGTTCCTGTGCTGTTTTGTCTTTCCAAGATCACTGAAGAGAGTTCTTATCTTTTTTTGCTAACATCAGGCATAAAAGTCGAACAACAGGCCCACAAAAGTAGTAGTTGATTTAATGATATTGAGAGGAAAAAGAACCTAGTAAATTACTCTTTGAATAAAGTATATTCAAAGGCTTGGCAATACTACTGTGACTTCTAAAAGTATTACCAACTGAAAATGAGTCAATAAATATTTATTATAATCACCCAAAATATTTGCTGTCTTAAAACAGCTCCTATTTGCTCCCAACATAAAGATAAATAAAATATACTTACCTAAGTGCAGAAAATGTAAATCCTTTCAAACCATCTTTACATCTGAAACAAAAATTTACAATCATAAAATAAATGTTTTAAACTATAAAGTAGCATATTAAACAGTCATTTTTTCTTTGTGGTAATGATCTAAGCTTTGCAAATGGTCAAACAAGCAACAGGCAATAAAGCATGACTTACCATGTCATATTAACATAACTCAGGGCTCAATTCTCACATCTGCTGAAGAGACTTATACCAAACTTCTAAAGGCTCCACCTGGATTTAGAATGAAGACTAGGAGTAGAGAACTATTCATTCTACCCAGTCCCTGGGGGAGCAATTTGTTCTGAAGAAAAAGGCCACATACACTTGCTGGGGGATTACATATAGGTCACTCCAGGTCCAGACTTCTCTCTTCTTATTAATTCAGTGAATGCAGAGCAACATAGAATTAGCAGGCACAAAAGACCTTCAAGTTCAGATAAAAAGTTTTACCTTCTGATTAAGGCAAGGAGAAAAGCTAATATTGAATGGGGAACAGGGATCAGCAGAAAGAACGCATTTCAAATATAAACAGTATTTATTTAGTGCCTACTTTTTGCCAGAGAGTTTGGGAGCTTGGGACCTTTATGCTCTGTGCCATTTACTCTATCACAAATCTATGAATATATTTTTCTTCCATTTTACAGCTACACAGGCTCAAAAACTGCAATAACTTTCCAGAGATGATAAAGCTAAAAGTGATCAGAATCAGGGAGGCTGAGAGATCAGACTTAAAAGTCATTATTTATCCCTTGAGTTTGTATTAGTTTTAATTGAGAAAAAAGCAAATGATAATTAAAAAGAAAAAAAAGAAATTCAGATTTGAATGAATTGTTTAAGTCTGATCTTAAAGTATGGCTATTACTAAGACCCAAAAGATCATTGTGAGGTGATTAGAACTCTAAGGAACCTTATATAAAGGGCCTTTGTGTGTTATCAAAATCTCTTGAAGAAATATATAAAGATTAGTGATAGAATGTTCTAATTTATCTACTATTTCACCAAGTTTAAAGGTCTCCAACCAACTATCAAAAATAAGAGTAGCTATGCCTCAAGTGGTAGAATTAGCCTTGAGAGTAGGAGGGGGAGAGAAGGGTCTATCTACCCTCAAATATAATTGGACAACTCTTTCTTTTGTATGCAAGGTCACAATAAGAAAATAAGAGAAATCTCTCTTATTTTTAAAAAGTCTGTTTTTACTGAACATGATACAGAATCTCAGGAAAAAATGTGTACATGGAGATTAAAAGACTTAAGGATTCATTCACTTCAGCAACACGATCTACTATGTGGTTATGTTAAGAGAGAGAAATGTAACCACAGAATTCAGGTAACATACTACATAATTTGGGAGTAAAGTCAAAAGACTCGTATGTTAAGCTAAAAATGTGCATAGGCAAATTACAGCATTAAAAATCTTACATTTATCTATTTTCCACCTGAATAAAATGTTTCATAGTAATGTAAAACCGATAATCTAGATAGTTGGAGAAGAGAGGGAGTAGGCTAGGGACCTACTGACTAGAAAAAAGAAAGCAGCAGATTGATTAAAAGATTATGTACATCTGGGAACAAATTTTGGCTTTGATATGTTATTGTTAAAAGATAGCCATTTATCTTTGTGCAATGTGAACAGATAAAAGATTCTGACAACTTGAAATTGTCAGCACTGCATAGTTGTGATCCTAAACAATAAATTTAATTGCAGACAAAAACATCAAAAAGTAGCTTTCAAGTATAAAAGAAGCATATACAAATGCATTTGCAACTTCATTATAATGGAAGCTGGGTTCTTTCAGCAGAAGCCTGTGGGAAGCACTTCATATTGATAAAGTCTTAACAAGGACTCAAAAGGGACTATTCTTCCTTCCATTCATGTGTATAAGGTTAGTTAATGTAATTGAGGGTCAGATGTCTAGTCAAAAGAACAAAAACGTAATTATTCCCATTAAAAGAATCTTGAAAACAGTAATGTGGCCTTACATTTTAACATCAAGAGTATTGTATGAGCATTAACACAACTAAAAAACATTACCCTAATCTGTGTTAAATGTAAAAGGTATGATATAAATATAAGATTTAAACAAAGCAGATCCCACTAGGACTTTTCTCATTTTTCTATGGATTCGGTTATTGTTCTAAAATTACACTTTCCATTTAAGTATCAATTCTCATTGGCTTATTCAACAAATATTAACTAAATGTCTATTATGTATAAGTACCTAAATGGGTACTTACACAGAACACTCAGCTGTCACAGAGTTGGCATTCCAGGGAAAAGAGATAATAAATTATAGTAGTAGTAGATGATAATTGTAGTAGTTAGAAAATACCCTACAAGTGGTATTCAGAAGAAACTATGTTGAAAATGAACTGTAGAACTGTGGGCAGGGATGGGAAGGAAAAACTAGGTGAGAATGAGGGAAGGTGTGACATTGTCCAAAAAGAAATGTACTTATTATCTGACTTATGAAACAATAAGCCCTCTGTACCTCACTTTTATGGTAACAATTAAAAAAAAAAAACACCCTGCAACATAAGGGAGAAACAGTAATGTAGTCATGCTTTCTTAAGTTACATAACTAACTAGTAACTAGAAGGCTCCAGTCAATTGTTCTAAGAAGGTCATATTTGGTACTCAGACCAGAAACTTCAATATACTGAGGGAAGGAATTTCAGGGTGGAGCAGTATCAAATGCAAAGCCTACATTAGGAATCTTCATAACAAGTAAGTTAAGAACTTCAGGTAGTTTTAGAACTGGAACAGAACAAGGAAGAAGATGAGTGTTAGGGAATAAGATTATAGTGTAGGGTGGAGGGAGAAAGTGGTCTATGATGCAGGGAGGCCTCTTCAGGCTCTTGAGGAAGGTTTTCAGCAGAGCACTGACAGATCTGTCTTAATTTTTTCAGAATCATTCTGACTGCTGGATGGGAAGCAAACTGAGCAAGAGGACATAGTTAGAAGCAAGGGTAGTCAGCAAGGAAAAGTTACCTGTGGTCAGAGGGGGAGAGAAGTAATAAGAACCTGAACGTAAGCCAGGCACCAGTGGTTCACGCTTATAATCTTAGCTACTCAGGAGGCTGAGATCTGAGGATCATGGTTCAAAGTCAGCACCAGAAGTGGTGCTGTGGCTCAAGTGCTAGAGTGCTAGCCTTGAGCTGAAGAGCGCAGGGTCAGCGCCCAAGCCGAGAGTTCAAGCTCCAAGACCGAACCTGAATGTATTTCAAAGGTCAAATTTTCTGCCAAAGTGGCGCTGTAGCTCAAGTGGTAGAGCGCTCGCCTCGAGCTGAAGAGCTGAGGGACAGCGCCCAGGCCCAGAGTTCAAGCCCCACGACCGACAAAAAAAAAAAAATATATTACTAAACCTTTATGTTTATGCATTATCCTGCCCATGTAATTGTAACCCCTCTGTACAGTATGTTCTCAAATAAAATAAAATAAAATTTAAAAAAAAAATTTTCTGCCAAAGTTTATTGGTGTTTTGAATGTGGGATAAAATAATTTCTAAATTAATAAAAATGTTTTTGGTCTGAGCAAAGAAAAGAATAAAACGATCACTTATCTGAAGTAAGGAATACAATGGGAAGAAGAGATTCAAGGAGACAATCAAGTTTGTTTTAGACATGTTAAACCTGAGCTGTGTCTTAGTACATTAAAAACAAAAGTGAAGGATGCAATCCACTGGCTTCAGAAATAAGGACTAAGGAAGAGAACAGTGCTAAAATCCATAAATCAGGATATAATGATGAGGACTGAATAGTTTATTATTCCAGCATCGATAATGAAAAAAAATCTCATACAAAAAGGAAACAAAAATCTATGTCTCCTAACACAATCACTCTCTAATATAAAGTCAGTTTTATTTACGTGTACATAACGATAATACACTTAACTCATTTGTACAGATTTTCTATCTAGTCTATGTGCATGACATAAAGTAACTACTATAATTTAATCCATATTCACTGATTCTAATTTTCCATGGTTCTTTGCTAAGCTAGACTATAATATAAAACAGAGCCAGGGTAAGTAAGAAGGAAAAGGAATTTGCCTCATTACATCAAACAATTTAGTCAATACACAAGTAATTACAGAGGTTCAAGTTGGAATTACACACTAGGTTACAGGAATGTATGAAGCTTAGTGTTATCATTGTTAGGATAATGCTCTTAGTCAAATGTCCGAATTTTGAATTAAAAATGACAGTAAAAGAAGTACTTCTGCTCACAAGAGTTTTTTTTTTCCTCCCTAGCTTAATTTCCATGAAATTACTTCCCTGGGATACAATCATATTCATGATAACACTGTACCAGCAGATGTCGCTAGAAAACTGAGGAAGAATTTGTAGCTCTAGTGTGGGTTCTATATCAAACACTCTTTGAAGGACTTTTCCCCCTATGCATTTGTAGAAATTTAAAAATGTAATAAATTTCATTACAAGTAAATGCTGTGGCATTAGACTTAATGATTGTGAATTCTTCTATTTCTACAGTGTATCACTCATTGCATATTTACAAAATGTTTAAGAATACTCTGTTATAAGGTAAATCATCCCAGAAGTCACATTTTAAAATATAGAATATTGGAGTCTTTATTATATAGTTAACAGGTTGCAGGCTGCCAGTTGTTACAAAGGCGTGCAGCACACAAATACACATGACACAGCTAGGAAACATGTTAAAGAGGAAAGAGATAACAAAAACAATACCAACAACCCAATTCAGCTGAGGGAGGCCATAATGACCGGAGATGAGACTGAAACAGGACACCATCACGGAGACACACATGGCATGGAGCCTGGCAGATAGGCTAGTCTGGGCCTAAATTAAGGTCTGCACAGAGGGCAGATCATTAGGAAATTCCCAGTCCCAGGCACTAGACTGACAGATTCAGTAACCTATCAGCCAAATGCCTGCCCCTGCCTCCAGGAGTCCAGGCATGCCAATTACCTGGGAGGCAGGTGAAGGGGGGGGGGGGGGGGGAAGAAGGGGGCCGTTTCCTTCCCCCAGCATGTGGC